CCCAACGCACACATACACACACAAGCATAACATACACACACACACACACACACACACACATATATATATATATATATATATATATATATATATATATATATACACACACATATATATATAATATGTAGTGCAATTTAATTTAGATTACAATGAATCATTCATACAAAAAAGTAATTTTTTTTTTTTTTTTAAAATATATTATCATTTTATATCATTAACTTTACTAATTTTCTTATTGTATGACTGAATCATTGTAAGATATATATATATATATATATATATATATATATATATATATATATATATATATATATATATAATATATTTTCTGTTTTGTTATTTTGATAGATACAATTTATTTAAGTAAATGTTCTGTTTTTAAATAAATGGTATTAATTACATTTATGTAATTAATAATGCTTATTTAAAACACACAACATTTACTTAAATAAATTGTATTTCGATAAAATAACGTATAAACAGAAAAATATATTAAATAATTGTCGGACTTAATCCATTTCACAATATATATATATATATATATATATATATATATATATATATATATATATATATATATATATATGAAATGGATTAAGTCCCTGATTCAATTTTATCTACCATTCATCGCTAACACTCACACAAATTATATATATATATATATATATATATATATATATATATATATATATATATATATAGTGGACTCTCTCGTTATATTCAACGTATGAGGGTCAAGCAGCTCAGTTTCTAGGAACCGATACTAGCACATGATTTGATTATTGTGGTGAAGGCATTGTGCAGAACCAACCACATTTTTTGAAGGGCCGAATACAGAGACCTGGTGCACTACGTGCCACAAGGTCCCCAAACAACCCTCCGCAGGATTTGAATTCAGGAGTTGTCCTTCTCCTAGACTAGTTGCTATCCAAGGCTATAGAACCCAGTCTGTTCTGTTATTTACCCATAGCTGGATGGAAAAGAAGAGAAGTAAAACTTTTCCCAAGGGTATTAGCACGTAAGTGAATGTAATGGATTCGACTGAAATTCGAACTATATATATATATATATATATATGTGTGTGTGTGTGTGTGTGTGTGTGTGTGTGTGTGTGCTTGTGTGTTTGTGTGTGTGTGTGTAGTAAATTGATTAATTGAACAAAAATAGCACGTGTGCTACTCCGTGACATGACACCTGCTTGAGTTGGTGTTTCACTATACTGATGCCTAGAGCGCATGCATCATCGTCTAAAGTTTAGCTATAAAAGTGTTACGACCTAACAAGACCACCAAACGTTTTGAAAATGTTATAAGAATATCTATTAGATTTTACTCCCAAGCAAACCAATAATGCCACTAACGTACAAGGGGTTACTCAGTGTGAGAAAATATGAGGAAAAAGAACACAATTAAAGAAAGATAACAAATACAAGTACTGGAATTAAGATGACAGAAGATATCGATTGACATTGCATTTAAATTTTTGATGATCTATGTTGACTAGAAACGAAGACACCAGAAAATATTTCCGCAAGCGACGAGTGCGAGGGAAGAAACTATTAGCATAGAACTTACGGTTACATCTCTTGCCATTTCAACTGTAAAATGATGAAACCTTGTCGCCATTCCAGTACTGGGCTTAAATTCATAAGCTCTCGATACCATATAGGAAGGTTCATCAAAACAATTAGCATCAAAATATTTACAGAAAAAGCACAGGGAAACTACGTTATGCCGCTGGGAAAGCCGAGATGCTAGGTCAGGACTAATAACATTGCAGAATTTTGGGATTTTATCAAGAATCACTAAATATATAGCAGAAGCACCAGACCATATGTGACAGCAATATTCAAAGCATGAACGAATGGTAGACTTATAAAAATTTAGAAAAATCATCGTTATTTAAAAAAAAAAGTTGTTTAAGCAATATTCATTCGTAAAAAAAGAATTATTTTTACAATCTGAAAATATATTTCAGCTTTAAATAACAGAGTGCTGATAAACCGTAAAAAACAAAAGAATTCGGACAGCTGCTTCCCAAGAAGAACTTTGTGGTGTAGACTCCCAAGAGGGTGCTTCTCCGACCACTACAATCTTAACCTATTGAAGTTTAAGGTCAACAGTTATCTTTCCTACGTATCCTCAATCTACACTTCTTACCTCTTTTTTTAACGTTCATACAACCTCGTTCTACCTTGAGTGGCTCTTGGGATTTGTATTGGAGGAACAATTATTGTAAAAATATAGTAACAATGCTTCATTAAATAAATTAGGAAAACGTAAGACAATAACATCGATTAACACTGTTTCTCGTCCTCCAGCTTAGAGTCTTTAAATTCCCCTGAATAGAATAAGGGCCACGGCCTCACAACACTAGAACCACGTAGGTAGATTTTTACAGTGTAGAGTTATTACCCCCATACCCAACTGGTTTTTAATTCAGAGTTATCCTTCTCTTAGACTGGTTGCTAACTAAGGTTGAGCAACCCAGTTATTTAATCCATAGGTGGGAGAAGATTATATAAAGTCATATATTTTCCCAAAGTATTTATGCGAAAGTGAACGCAACGAATTGCTAGTTGATATTAATTTATAGATAAAATGTAGTTTTCCTATTTTGATTTAAAAAGAAAAGTTCATGAATGTAGAATAAAAATGAAACCTTTTAGCAGTTTAAAAGCTGAACTTTATCAGTTCAGAAGACATTTTCGACTGTTTACTTGTGATAAAGTCGGCTGCTGTCAGTGACGTCATAATATGATGACCGTAAAACAGAAACACTGGCATCTTTTTTTTTTCTTTTTCATATTGATATTGATTCAGTGTTTGTTTTTGTCTTTGTTTCAAATATGTTGAGGAGAAATGTGAAGTAATTTTCCATTTTGGAAGATGGAGTTGGAGAAATAAAATATGATAAAGAAAGATGAAAACGAGGGAAAACAGTAAGGGAATGGTTTCAGAAGTGTCTTAAGGTAAAAATTTGAAGAAAAAGAGATGTGCTCAAGTGGTTGAAGAGTTGGAAATCTGCGAAGGAAAAGAAAGAAAGAAAGAAAGAAAGAAAGAAAGAAAGAAAGAAGAGTAAAAATAAGAAAAAAGAAAGAAAGAAGAGTAAAAAAGAAAGAAAGAAAAAAAGAAGAGTAAAAATAAGAAAAAAGAAAGAAAGAAGAGTAAAAAGAAAAGAAAGTAAAAAAGAAAAAAGAATGAAAGAAGAGTAAAAAAAACAAGAAAAATAAGAAAGAAAATAAAACAAAAAAGAAAATAAAAGAAAGAATAGCAAACATATGAAAAAGAAAGAAAAATAAGAAAGAAAGAATGAAAGAAAATGCAAGAAAGAATAGTAAAAAATGCGAAAAAGAAATTAAATAAAAAGAGAAGAAAAGAAAAATAAGAAAAAAAAAGAAAGCAAATAAAAGAAATAAAGAAAAAAATGAATAAGAAAAATAAGATAAAGTAAGAAAGAAAAAGTATGAAAGAAAGAAAAAAGTTTGAAGAGTAAAAAAAAAAAATTGTACGGAAGAAAGAAAAGTTCGAAAAAAATAAAGACAGACAAAAGGTGGTACAAAAGTAAAATTAAGAAAGAAAGAAAGAAAGAAAGGGAAATACATAATGAAACAGCCATACTAAAAAAAGAGCCTTGCCATGGAGCAGCGGTTAGCTATCTAGTTTATCTACAAATGAGTTCTATTCTTATTAGATGTCACGTATTTATAGCTTTTAGCGTGATGGTTAACAAGCTCATCTCACATATGAATTAAATAGTTTAATCGTTCCCGTCTTTACGATATGACCCACTAATATAGCCTTGTGCCAGAACTGAGCCATTGGGAACCACGCCGTGTAGCAACGATTAAGTAACCAGTCTAGCAAACTATTACTACTGTAGTGAGTTCGATCTTCACTGACGCCTCTGCACTTGTGTCCTTCTGCCGTGTGAAATAAAGACCAGTCAATATCAATAACGTAAATAAGCAGGATGTATATTAAAAGGATTCGAAAAAGAAAGAAAAAAATAGATTTTTTTTTTTAAAAAATGAAAAAAAAAAAGAAAAAAAAGAAAAGTGAAAGAGAGCAAAAGAAAGAAGAGGTGCGTTTGAAGGGTGCGGCAAGAGGCCTCCTACGGTACGCGTCACGTGGTACTGCAAAGTATAAATAGATCAACTTAGGCGGTTTGCGTCATCAGTTGCTTCTCAGCGGAGCTTCGCGCCACTCAGAAGTCGACCAACCAATCTCGCCTGGTCTTCTTAGTTTTATGCATTATCCACTCACAGTAACTCACTCCAGCGCGCACAAAGAAATACACATAAAAATCCAACGTGCGTTATCTTCCACTAACTCGGATCTTTCAGAAATTATACAAACATCAACAAACGTTTGAAACTGATATCAAAACCTTCAAGTAAATAACGGATACTTTATCACTGCAAAGGATTTGTTAAGGTAAAAAGAGGACTTTTAAAACAAATGATAAAGAACCTTGAATTTTTTAAGGTAACTCACAAATATATATATGTATATGGTTTTATTTATAAACATAAATAGAGTGTTTTGTTTTTTGTTTTTGTTTTTTTTTGGTTTCTAACTTGTTTATTTATTTTATGAATAAACCATTCGTTGAATAAATATTTATATCGCTTTTAATTCACCGATATTCTTTTAATACAGTAATGACAATATTTTTAATAACATTAATTAAAAATTAACGATTATTGTGACTAACTGTGAGTAAACTGCTTGATAAATGTTAATGTACATTTGGAGTAATTCTACTATCATTAAACGTGTTTTTGAAAATATTTCTTCCTAACGGTGTACAAGAGAATGCTCTAATTGTCTTAGAACCTTATTCTCTGTAATCATGATATACAAGCAAAAAAGAAACTTTCAAATATAAAAACAAATCATTTATAGACTTCACAATTCGTTTTTTTTTTAATGTAGCTTTGTTAATACAAAGGTGGTTAGTTTTCTTAAATAAAAAAGCAGTGAATATTTCGTCCTAAAATGGCTTACGTTCGATTTGATTCCGTGACGAAACCTTTCAATAACCGATGTCACGTTACTTCATCTAAGCTCAATAGCAACAGCTTCAGAAATCATAACAGTGCCTCCATCACCAAAACAACAGAATACAGCATGTCTAACGTGTCGACTTATCTAATATTACTCTGTCTCTGTTGTCTACTACCGATTGGCAGCTGTGTAAATGATAGTGAAGTGTCACAGAATTCGGTAAACGTTTTATTGCGTCCTGAATCTTCGTTGGCAGAAAAGCCGCTAAAAGCCCTTTCTCGGCCTCAACCTGATCCAGTCGAACCGTTCGGGCTACGAAAACTTCAAAATCGCAAAGCAGCATCGCAGAAGGATAAAAACCGCAAGGGACTGGCCACCGAGAAATTATCAGAATTGACAATCAAAGAAAATCCAGAACCCAAGAGTGATAACAAATCCCAGATCCAGCAGCGACAAGTTGTAACCAAATCAAAACCTCAGGAACGCACAGGGGCAAAACCTCAGGAACGCACAGGGGCAAAACCTCAAGAACGCACAGAGGCAAAACTTCAGGAACGCACAGAGGCAAAACTTCAGGAACGCACAGGGGCAAAACCTGAAGAACGAACAGGGCCAAAACCTCAAGAACGCACAGAGGCAAAACCTCAAGAACGAACAGGAACAAAACCTCAAGAACGAACTGGGGCAAAACCTCAAGAACGCTCAGAGCCAAAACCTCAAGAACGCACAAAAGCAAAACCTCAAGAACGAACTGGGACAAAACCTCTCGGACGCCCAGGGACAAAACCTCAAGAACGCGCAGAGGCAAAACCTCAAGAACGCGCAGAGGCAAAACCTCAAGAACGAACAGGGGCAAAACCTCAAGAACGCGCAGTGGCAAAACCTCAAGAACGAACAAGAGCAAAACCTCAAGAACGCACAGAGGCAAAACCTCAAGAACGCACAGAGGCAAAACCTCAAGAACGCACAGAGGCAAAACCTCAAGAACGTACAGGGGCAAAACCTCAAGAACGCACAAAGGCAAAACTTCAAGAACGAACAGGGGCAAAACCTCAAGAACGAACAGGGGCAAAACTTCAAGAACGGACAGGGGCAAAACCTCAAGAACGAACTGGGGCAAAACCAGAAACGCCGTCAGAAGCAACGGCAAATCTGACTAAAACAGTAAAACAAAACCAGTCTAGGAGACAACAATCGTTTCCAAACGAACTTCTCGAAAAAAAGGAATTGTGTCCACTAAAATCTCTGGTGCATTACAATGTCACGTTTTTTCCTATGTGGTCGAGTAAACGTTTCCCTAAGATGTACCCAACATATCGGCCGAACGCTCAGTGGTCAAAAGCTATCGGTAAGTATAGAAGACGTTTTTCTAATATGAGTGTATTGTCAACATTATTTTGTGTGATATCCCAGTGTAGAGTAAATATCTTTTGAAATTTCCTTCTTTTCGTAATTCTTGTATGCTCTGTTTATTTTTGCCACTCGCGAGGAATAAATATAGAATCTCAAAACTTATTTTAGAAGAAAATTGATTACTATTTGGTCATTGTTGATTTCTATATTTGATGAGTTCAATAGAATAACGAACACCCAGTTTTCAGTATCGTATATTGATTGGTTTAATTAAGGATATTTGTTTTGTGTTTTCATGTTTTCTTCCGCAATTATTCTTAGACATATGGCTTATATTATGCAGTATTAATTGCTTTTTCACTATCTTATCAGTAAAGAATAATAATAATAATAATAATAATAATAATAATAATAATAATAATAATAAACCCGTACCCATCAGTAGTGCAGTTAAAAGCTGAAACCGAATATTTTATTTTGCTGCACAGGACAAATGCTTGCTAACTAAAAATTACCAAGCACACATAATGAAAAATTGTGTTAACCTGAAATTCAAATTCTGTGATAAATATCCAGAAACAAATGACCATCTTGTGTCAGGCTGTACAGTGTTAAAACACACTGATAAAACTCGGCGTGGTAGAAAGTCAAAATCTGCATTGGAAAATATAGAACTTTTACGGGAAGGAAACTGCAAGAATTTGTTATGAACATCACCCAGACCCGAGTATAAAGATAGTACCTGTCCCAATTTAATGGGACATTACAATATACACAGACAGAACAATCAAAGCTAATTGCCCAGACATCGTAATCAAAAACCACAAAAATAGAATTTGCTTTCTTATTAACATGGCAGTCCCTGCAGATTATGATGTATCTTTGAAGAGCTTTTAAAAAAAACTCTCAAAATACACGGATTTTGAAGTAGAAATCTCAAAAATGTGGCACATGGGGACATCAATAATTCCAGTTGTAGTGCTAACCATCGGATTCATTGGAAAAGGTTCCGATAGACACATTAAAGGGATTCCTGGTAGCCCATGCACTTATAGAAATACAAAAATTGTACTCACAAGTACAGCTCACACATTACGAAGAGCTTTATCTATGTAAAATGTAGGTGACCTTAGTTTTTTTTTTTTCTTCAAAAATGATCAGTGGAAAATGGCATGAAGCCATTTCTGAGCATAGGTCTCTAGTTAGGAGCCGGAAGGAAATGTGTATACAACAGAAATCAAGGGAAATAATAATAATAATAATAATAATAATAATAATAATAATAATAATAATAATATGACATCAACAACTCCAGTTGTAGTTGGAACCCTCGGAATGACTGGAAAAGATTCCAATAGATTCATTGAAGGGATTCCTGGCAGCCCATGCCTTAAAGAAATATAAAAAATGTACTCACAAGTACAGCTCACACCTTACGAAGGGTTTTATCTATGTAAAATATGTATGATTTTAGGTGTGTGTTTTTGTTTTGTTTTGATCTTTTGTTTCCTCAAAAAATGAACAGTGAAAAATGTCATGATGCCATTTCTGATCTTAGGTCTCTGGTTGGAACCCGGAAAGAAATGTGTATACACCAGAAATCAAAGGAAATAATAATAATAATAATAATAATAATATGATTCTATACTAAGCATGGGACTCATCGCTTTTGATTTTGATTGGAGGTGTTAGCAAGTAAATATTTTGTCTTGGTCAGTTAAGATGGGCTCAGTAAATATGCCATCCAGTAACATAGATTCCCTTGTCTGTTGTCTAACCTTACCCAGTTGCGTATATTTTAAGGGAAATAATGCACTGGGCATCTTTGTTTATAAGAATGAATGGTTGGATGAGAACGATGGCCGATGTTGAGAAGAGTTTGAAAGATGAGGCGCCAAAACAAGGAGTCTGATCTAAATACTTGGGAATACGCTCAATCAATGACAGTATGAACGGACTGAATTGCCCAACCTGAACGTATTTCTAACTGGACCGTATCTGCATGATTATCGTCCTGGGTATGACGATAAACTACATCCGGCAGCAAGACCTCCAATCAGGAGGTTTTTAGTCGCGTGGAACCACCTGTAAATTGCTGTTGTTTCCAGGTCAATCCTGACGTGGGGTGGTAGCGCCTTTTAAGGTCTCAGCTATGGGCAAATATTTAACCCCTAAACTGGGATCAAAATACTATGAAAGTGTAAAAATAGGTTTTTATAGTAAAAATAACAGCAATACATTTTTGGAAAAAATATTACCAGCAATACTTTTTTGAAAAAAAAAAAATATTATTACAAGCAATGCATTTTAGACATGAAAAAAATATTACCAGCAATACATTTTTTTAAAAAAAAGATATTACCAGCGATACATTTTTAGCAAAAAACATTACCAGCAATACATTTTAAAAAATAATATATTACCAGCAATAAAAATCTTGTTGGCATTAAATAACCCATTGAGGTTGATATGCCGTAAAACAAAACAAACCAAATCTGTAAGTTTATACGTTGATTTTAATAAAACACATCGCCATATGCTTGTGATGCCTTTGCCTGATATGCATTTATTAGACTGGTTGTCATGGTGGGTATATTGGATTTCGTATATTTCGACGCGAGCGTCAGTTTGTTTGGCCTGCTGCTCTTTCAAATAATAATAGCAATAATAATAATAATGATAAAAATAATTCGAAAATTTCTAAACCTCCTTCGATCCATAACTGTCTATTTAAACTATAAAATTACGAATAAAATATCATTTTGATTTCAGAAATAAAATATAATTTGATGCGCGTTTCAGATTTAATTTTCTATTTCTTTCTTTCATTTTTCCTTTTTATCTTTCTTTCTCTCTCTCTCTCTCTCTCTCTCTCTCTCTCTCTCACTTTCTCTTTCTATTCCATTCTTATTTCTCTGTTTACGTCTTCCTCTTGCTTTTATCCTTGCCGTTTTATCTGTTTATTTTTTTTCTGTTTCCTTCTCTTTGTAGATATATTCTTCTTTTTTGTCACCTCTCTCCATCTTTCCTTATTTCTCTATCCTCTCTTACTTTCTCATTCTTTATCTCTTTCTTGTTTATTTTTTCCTCTTTTTTTTCTATTCTAATCCCTATATCTTTCTCTCTCTCTCTCTCTCTCTCTCTCTCTCTCTCTCTCAGCATGTCGTCAAGTTTTATATTCTCAATTGTTTGTTCAGAGATCGCCTTATATTTGTTAGTTATTGTAGGATCAAATTTTGAAATTACTACTTATATTTCCACAACAAATTTTTTCGCGAGCCCTAACAACTTTGGTATTAACAAATTCTAGTACAAGATTCATGGTATCAAATTTTTCAATGCCAAACAAACATTTTTATCTTCCTGTTTTAATTCAGTCCCAAGCAGCTTCCCTTTCAAATTATTGCAGTCAGCTCAGTAAGTTATTTACTTTTGTTCTAATAATATGAACCAAATGTAAGTTTTTGTTTCGAAGAAATCACTTTAAAAAGTTGAATTTCATAATTGATCGTAATATAAAAAAAATACGATCACTCCTCAACATAACTTTCGTTAAGGATTTTGAAATTTGTAATAATTTATTTTATTAAAAAGGCAAAAACATTTAAACAAGTACATTTATATGTAAAGATTTATCATTCTAAGTTTCACCATTCGTTTGTCTACAATATAGACATCATCAATTTTTAGCACATTTTCAATTCAAACCTTAAACTTAGCTTGTGAAAAACAGTATTCAAATCTAAAGAATGTCAATGATTTCGTCTCATGCTGATTCAAACTATTTTAAAAAAATCTATACGGGTATCGTTACAGTTCAAAGAAGGGTCTGTGTTGTGGTGTCTTGCCTCTAAAGAGTCTATGTTGGACTCTTCCGCCTACTATAAGAATAGTATGAGAGAAGGCCTTGCAGGGAACAGTCGAATAGATTGAACGCTGGGTCAACCGACACACACTCACTAGTCGTGTAAAATACTTCTGTTGTATTTACTGTTTAATATATGATATATCTGCAACACTTGTTTTGTTATTTCTTTAACCATTTACTTGGTCACAATAGTCTGTGATCGAATCTATCTTGACCAGGCATCTTGACAACTTTCTCATTGGCGTGATCTGATTTCCATCTATCTTTTCTATACATATTTTCATGGCAACTCTCCGGATGAGCTGACTGTCTGTTTCATGCTAAACGCAATCACCATGTGTGTCGTGTTTTTGCTTGGCTACTTATATATACAGATCAGCAATATTGACCAGTGATCAGCGATCACTGACCTGTAAATATAAATAGCCGAGTAAAAACACAAAAGCACATGGCCTGACGATTTCGTTTAGCATGGAACAGATTGGTGCCTCTGGATATTGACTTTTATATTTACATGCGCCCTATCCCTGTTATTGCGCACGTTAACTTAATATTACATACTTTAAAACTATATTTTATCATATATATATATATGTGTGTGTGTGTGTGTGTGTGTGTGTATTTGTGTAATAGGAAAGAACTGTTAGATTGATGATCCGAAATTCTTTAGTATTTTCGTTTTTATTTTTAAAAAACAGCGCTCTATACAGAAGTAGAGCCTAGATTATAATTCTTTTTTATAAAGTATAATCCTATCGCGACACATCGCAAAGGAGAGACCCCTTTATAATAAAAAACAAGCCCTAGATCACACCCCTATTAGTTATTCCAAACATCGCTTGATGATGAAACTGCTACCCAATAGTTAAAGTTTAATATTGAAATTAAATCTGAATACTGCTGACCAGTTTCGAAACAGTAATTTCTGCGATGGAATCATATTTAAAAAAAAAAATTTAAATCTATCTATCTATCTATCTATCTATCTATCTATCTATCTATCCTATATATATATATATATATATATATATATATATGCAGGTTGCGATGGGTAAAAATTTGGCCATTTTATACTTTTCATTTCCCGCATACACATTGTTTGTTTTTGATTTTGTCGACTGCATAGTATAGTAGGGTAAGTTGGGTACCTTCTGTGAGAAAAAGAGCACCATAACGCAATTCACTTGACCAAAATTTGGAAACAGCATGCTGTACTCCAGGCAGTCATATCGGAAGCTCAAATACAAACATTTCAGAGTGTTTAAGTGTCAATCTGAGGACAGTGCAGAGAATTCGGAAAGAGTTGGATGAGTCTAATGGTGATTGCGAAGGTATGGCAACCCGAAAAACTCACTCTGATCGTTTTGATAAGAAAAGAACTCCAGAATTTGTTGTTGAAGGCCTCAGACTCAATACGGAGGCCTACATGGAGTGCCTTAAGGAGGTAGTACTGTCATGGGTCAAGAGGGTGACTGATGGATGACCCTATGTCTGGCAACAGGACTCTGCACCATGCCACACAAGGAAGAGAACCTAGTCTTGGCAGTAATAAAATTATGTCAAAGATTATGCCAACATTCATCAACTTAAACAGGGAGACCGTCCAGAAGAGATGCGGGAGATTCTGAAGTCGTCTGGAGGTCGTGGTTGAAGCCAAGGGCGATTTTATTGAATAAATTGACACGTTAGTATTTTTGATATTTTGGGGTATTTTTTGGCAAATCCATGTTAAAATAAGATATCAGCGTTGTTTTCATTTTTGCGTAATGTAGACGACAATTTATCCATCGCACACTGTACGTATATATGATAAAAATATAGTTTTATATATTTTCTAAATATAAATTTTATATTATAAATATATAATAATATATATGTTAGCTATAGTTTACCATATATATATATATATATATATATATATATATATATATATATAAAAAAATATTGATTTCAGGTATGCTATATTTATGGTTTAAAGTCATCAATATCATGGATAGACCGTATGTAGATATAAAAGACAAATTCCGTCGGCGTCTGTTTCATGCAATCGTCAGGTCATATATATATATATATATATATATATATATATATTATCATTGGAACATGCAAGTTACCACGACAAATGTTCCAGTGTAACAATTTATAATAAATATCTATTCGCGTATTGAGCCTTTTTAAAATTAATGTTATGAACGTTTGAATGTATATTCTTTTCGTTCTTTTAAATTTGGACTATATATATATATATATATATATATATATTATTTTTAAATTTGCTATATTTATGGGTGAATAGTAATAAGTGCAAGAGATAGGACGTTTGCAAATAGCTCATAGCCCGAAGATCGTTTGAAGTCGGAAAATAACAGTAACCATATACTTGATACTGTTGATTTATATATATATATATATATATATATATATTAAAAAGAAGAGGGGTGCCGCAAACGTTTTTGGTTGTAATGTGGATTTATTGAGAAAAAATATTATACTTTGTTTTACATAATTTCACGACACGTGTTTCTGGTCTGGTCTCGCAACCGTCTTCAGGTGAAAGTGGAGATTTTTACATATTATTAAAAATAATTAATTTTTCTTCATGTTCAATGTGGAATATTCTTGATATGAGACATTCTGTTTGTGTGTTGGCAATCCGAATTTTCTTTCTAGAATTGTCAATGAAGAGTTCTGCGTGAAGGGTCATAAAACAATTAAGGTTTGTCCAGCGAGTAGTTATCGGCATTTAATCTTTTAATGTTTTAGTGACCTCTATGTGCTCTTGGATCTGTTTCTATTTTGGCGTGTTCCTGTCAGCATGCGTGTATATATGCGTGCGTATATTTCCTTACTACGAGGAATTCGTGAACTTATTTGTACTTATACACGCATACACACAAAGCCTTCATAGAAATGGATGAAATATTTATTCCAAGGAAATTCCGCGAAAAGATTAACCCACAAGACACGGAAAAACAAAAACAAATAAAAAACACACTAAGCATAACAAAAATGCAGGCCCAAATTGAAATACAAGAAGACAAAAACAGTAAACTTTAAAAAGAAATACACAGAGATTGATAACAAATTATTAACAAAAATCAAGGAATTATGTACCAAAGAAACTCACCAATTCCTGTTTGAATTATAGAGTCAAAATGTAAAAAGAGGAAGAAAAATCTCGGAATATCTTGGAAAGCAAGTTAACCTGGTTAAAAGCATTACCAAGTAAAGAAAAAATTGGAAAATGAGACAAAAACAAAAATACAGTCCAAACTCACAAAAAACCCCAATACCCAACACAAAACAATCATCAGCAAATACAGAAAACCACCCAACAGAGTCAAAAACCTGAATCCCTACCCACCCCACACACAAACAGACCCACAAGGTAAGCATTCTAACACATTCTACCATACGCAAACACATCCACAAACTAACTCACAAAGTGATTATCCTAACACATTCTACTACACGCAAACACATACACAAAGCAGGAACCCCAATACATACCACCACCACACGCATTCACACCCACATAAAAATACAATTATGAACATACACTGAACAGCGCAAAATAAACCTGTACAGACCACCACACCATAACACAAACAGTCAAAGATCAGAACACACACACATTCACACAACCAACTCTTACAAATACCACCTAGCACAACAAACCAAACCAGGCAACCATTACCTATATCCAGGAGTACAACCAGAATTTCACAAAAGTTCTACACAAATCCACATACAATCAATACAAAAACAACAAACCTAGGAACATCTGGAACAGGCCCCCTAACAAAAAGCCAACACACCTATATAGAGCCATCGAGAAACAACAACCCCAATTTTACCAAGGGAAACTCTCACTGGCTAGAAAACTCAAAATGTACAGGAAGAAGGTATCTCTTAGAAAACCCAAGATATATTAAAAGAAACAATCATTATTTTTTAGAAGCCCCAGTCCGAACAAGAAAACCCGTTTAGATGACACAAAACCCAAAATAATAAACCTATCTACATATACACTTACAAATGACGAAATCAACCTACTGAAATTGGGCCTAAAATTCTGTCCTGCTCCTAAAAAAGCAATATAGTAGACTTAAAAAAAGACATTAAGGAATTTGAACGCAAACTGAGACTAAGAGAAATATTTAACAATAGCGAAAGTAGTACAGATGAGTCACTAGTAAAAAACAAATCCAATTTATTCCCAAACAAAATAACAATACCAATGAGATAAATATATTTTTTGAAAAACTCTGAAACCTTGACCTACAGGAAAAATCCAAATCATTCGACAATCTCACATATAGACAAAGACTAGCCTTAGAGAACA